TAATTCTACTTGCAATTATCAAAAATGAATTGTAGATTCAGGAGCTAATCAACATATGATTGCTTCTGAATCTCTTCTTCATGATACCTCTACTAATGGTACCTCTACTAAAATTGAGAAAAATGAGAATTTAAATGTCTCTAGTTCTCTTACTTTGTTTGATGTTTTTGTGGTCCCTGAATTTAATGTTAACCTATTATCAGTTCATAAGGTTTATAAATATATCAAGTGTGAGGTTGTTTTTAATGAACATAGTTGTAAAATTCAGGATTTACGGTCAAAGGAGATGGTGGGGAGTGGTAGAGAGTCTAGAGGTCTCTATTATATAGATAATGCACCTTCAAGTAATAGTTTGTGTTCTAATTCTAATACTACCATCTGTTATGTTTCTAAACTTACTTGGAATAGTAGGTTAGGACATCCTTCTAATCAGGCTTTAAGTTCTTTAAAACAAAATCTTAATTTTGTAAATGATACTTTACCTCCTTGTGATGTCTATCATAAAGCCAAACAGACAAGAGAAGTGTTCCCTCTTTAGTCATCATAGTACTACAAAACTTGGTGAGCTTATTCATCTAGATGTTTGGGGGCCTTATAGGGTGACTACTTCAGAAGGTTATAGGTTTTTTTCTAACTATTGTTGATGACTTTACAAGAGTAACTTGGGTTTATTTGCTTAAATCTAAAGATGAAGTTTTTAAATATGTTTCTGCTTTCCTTAATATTTTAGTTAATAAATTTGAAGTTAAAGTTAAGAATGTAAGGTCTGGTAATGGTACTGAATTTTTAAACTATAATATGAAGTCTCTTTTTGAAAGTAAAGGTATTATTCATCAGAACTCATGTGTTCACATACCCCAACAAAATGGTGTGGTAGAGAGGAAGCATAGGCATATTTTAAATTTTGCAAGATCCTTTGTTTTCCAGTCTAGTCTTCCTCTTGATTTTTGGGGTGATGTTCTTACCTCTGTGTTTCTTATAAATAGAAATCCTACTTCTGATTTAAATGGTTTTTCTCCTTATGAGCTTGTTTATAAGTCTTCTCCTAGTTTTGACAAGTTAAAAGTTTTCGGTTGTCTTTGTTTTGCAACTAAACTTAATGTTTCTAATAAGTTTTCTACTATAGCAGAGAAGTATGTTTTTATTGGTTATTCTTCTGAGAAAAAAAGTTATAAAGTTATAAGTCTTGATTCCAATTTTGTTTTTGTTTCTAGGGATGTGAAATTCTATGAATCTTTGTTTCCTTTCAAACTTAAAACTACTACTGCTTTTGATAAATCTCATGATTTAGTTGACTCTTGTGATCCATTTTCCTATGATGATCCATTAGTTTCTAGTAATATACAAGAGAACTCTGGTTTAGATGACTTGAGAGTTAGCCATCAATGGGATGGTGCTAGAGCAGCTCATAACGTGGATGAGACCTCCACAAGTGGGGTCAACAACCAGAGTGGCAGGGAACACGTGTCTTCTGTTGATGAGGCTATTCCTAGCTCATCTACCTTGGCTGAGGAAAATATTTTTAATAATATTAATCCTTATAATAGTCACACTGTAGGGGTCACTAGGCCTGGTCGGAATATATGCATGCCAATTAAGTTTAATGACTATGTTGTTGAGGGTAGACACATATATGGAATTGAAAGGTTTGTTAATTACTCTTGTTTGAATAATGGCAATAAATGTTTTGCTTCTAATCTAAATAAAACCTGTGAACCTAAGTTATATAAAGAGGCTTCCCTTGACCCTAATTGGGTTAATGCCATGAATGAAGAAATGGAGGCTTTATATAGGAATCATACTTGGGATATTGTTGAACTTCCTCTTAACAGAAAACCTATATGATGTCGTTGGATATATAAAATAAAATATAAGTCAAATGGGGAAGTTGAAAGATATGAGGCTAGACTTGTTGCTAAAGGATATAATCAAAGGGAAGGAATTGACTATGAGGAGACCTTTTCTCCTGTAGCCAAGATTGTAACTGTTAGGATTGTTATTTGTCTTGTTGTTAATCATTCTTGGCCTCTTTTCCAACTTGACATTAATAATGCATTTTATATGGAGATTTAGTTGAAAGTGTGTATATGTTTTTACCTGAAGGTTATTATTCCAATGATGACTCTAGGGTGTGTAAATTGGTTAAGTCTCTTTATGGACTTAAACAAGCTCCTAGAAAGTGGAATAAGAAATTATGTTACTCTCTTACTGGTTTTGGTTTTACTCAAAGCATTAATGACTATTCGTTACTTGTTAAGTCTGTAAAAAATAAAATTGTTATATTACTTGTTTATGTTGATGATATAATATTAACTAGGAACTGTAATATAGACTTGAATAAAGTTAAGGAATTTCTTAAGTACTAGTTCAGAATTAAGGATTTAGGTGAGTTAAAATATTTTTTGGGAATTGAGGTTTTATTTGTTAAAATGAAATTTGTTTGAATCAAAGAAATACTATATGGAACTCCTTAATGAGTTTGGGATGTTAGGTTGTAAACATGTCAAAACCCCTCTTGAAGTTAACTTGGTTGTTAGTCATGATAGTGATGATAGTTCTGATTGTTTAGTCAATATTACAGAATTTCAAAAACTAATTGGAAAGTTGATATATTTGACTGTAACTAGACCTGATATCTGTTATGCAGTTCAAGTTTTAAGTCAACATATGCATAAACCTCGTAAATCTCACTTAAATGTTGTTTTTCGATTATTGAGATATCTGAAAGATTATCCTGGAAAAGGTGTTTTAATTTCTAAGTCTGGTTCATTTAACATTACTGGGTATGCTGATGTTGATTGGGCCAAGTGTCTCAACGCTAGGAGGTCAGTGTCAGGATATATTGTCAGGATATTTGGTTTATCTAGGAGGTTCCTTAATCTCTTGGAAAAGTAAGAAACAAAGCACTGTGTCGAGATCCTCAACAGAATCTGAATATCGTGCTTTGGGATCTGTTACTTGTGAAATCTTATGGATTTTAAAAGTTCAATTTGATCTTGGTCATAAAGGTTTAACTCCTGTAAATGTGTTTTGTGATAATGAGTCTGTTATCAAACTTGCTTTAAACCCTATGTTTCATGAGAAAACAAAACATTTTGAAATTGATGTTCACTTTGTTAGGGAAAAAATTTAAAATGGTATTTGAAAAGTGGTTAAAATTGATTCATCATTACAAAATGTAGATATTTTGACTAAGTTGTTGACTTCTTTTCAACATAATTTTCTGTCTGAAAGTATATTCTCAATGACAAACTTATCATCATCATTTGTTCTTTAATAAGTATTTTTTTTATTTAAGGGTAAGAGTTGTAAGTTCTTGAATGTAGTGGGTGTTAGTTGTTGTTTTCGTTTGTAGGTTAATAGAAGCACGTAGGTCATGGGTATCCAAACCGTGTTTGACCATATCCGTTGACCTAAGTGTATAGTGTAATTGAGAGCATCAGTTGGTTCATTTGCTCATTCTTCACTTGCAGATTGTGTGTGTTTTCTCTCGTTTTAGGGTTTTCTTCTACACAGTTAGGGTTGGTTCAATTTAGGGTTTCTTACTAATCTTTGTACTCCGTTTATGTTCTTGTACATCTTATATACCTTCTGAGTGTGCGTGAATCTGTAGTGAAGTTTCAATTGTATAGTTGTATATTGTTGATGTAAACCATTTTATTCACAAATGAATGAATTGATGATGTTGGGAATGTGTTGAATCTGTCTCATTTATACTTTCTAACTATTTTTATAATCAACAACAAATGAACCACATCTCTATACCAAGGCTATGTGTCTTACATGAGACAAAACTGCCTGTACCATCTATTTTCAAGATGAGAATGAGCCAATGAGGGCATCCATTTTGTTGCATAGACAAAATGTCCATACCGAATCTATGCCCCCATTGTTGCACCTTTTTAGGTGGGCTAGAAAATTTACATCAGATCTTAGTGTATTCCAATCACAATGACAGAACAAATGGGCCCTAAGTAGACTTTATTCCATATTGTAATGACCGAAGAACAGACCTCGAAGGTGCCAAACATCACGGCTTGTGGTATGCACACTTATTCGAATTCAGTGGCGATCACTTATTCATCCTTTTGTCATATATGGGTTCTAAGAACTTAAAATTATGAACCCATGGAGATCCATCGTGTAAAACAACCCTCTCTCATTCATTTTTCCATCCAAAATCATATTAAAGTCAATTTTCAATATATATATATATATATATATATATATATATATATATATATATATATATATATATATTATATATATATATATATATATACACCCAAAAGAAAGAGCCAACTTTCACTTGTAATCTTCAAATTGAATTCAAATGCATAGAACAACCCCCTTTGATTCCTATATTCATCCAAAACTTCAAAAAGTTGAAAGTTTTTGGGTTTAAATGCAGTAACCAAATTCCCAAGTCTACAATCAATCAAGTTGAAAGAACATATCATATGGAGTATGCAAAGAATCATCGTCAACAGAACCTCAACAACTGATTTTGTAATTGAAAGGCAAAAAGCCGAAAACATATCAGTTGCATGTCCTTACTGGTTTTGAGATGTGGATCTCTTTGCTCTTAATAATAACTATATAACCACAATACAGTGTGAAAGATAGTTGGACCAAATGTTCATTTTTGGAAAAAGAGGCCCATGTCTCGGGCAAAATTAGTTGGACCAAATTTTTGTTAGGAAAAATTCAAATAGTTAACGAGTTTATGGGAAAAATTCATATTTTAAAACTAAATTTACAAGAACACATCTCCCTCTCCTAAGCTTTTGCAAATGAAAACTTTTTTGTTCATCTAAGCAACCATTGGCATATTCAAAAACATAAACCAATTACTTTTTTTGTCATTCGGTTTCCAACATTAAATTGAATCATACCAAGTGATACGAAGTCAAACTTGAAGATAGAAATATAGAGAAAAACAGAAACTGATACTGAAAAATGCAATGTATGATCAACACTAACATGAGGAATCCATATAACTACACGACACTAAAATCCAACTGATCAAGCAGAAGTAGTGTTTCCATGTACAAGCTAACAAACAATGCACCATGTTTCCCATTAATCCCTGTATCATTGAAGCGTTTTGAGCTGGGTTCATAGACAACAACTGTAGCTGGTTCTCCATAATCATCTTGTGTTTCCATAATAGCTTCATCCTTCTTTGTAAATCCCAGAATCTTTATCGAATCACATTCTTTCTCAATGGTGAACAGTTATGTAAACAAATGAGGAACAGAATGATCCATAATCCATACATCACAAACTTGGAGTTCACTTTGTGATTGTGAATCAGTGTATGTAATGTATTCAAGCACAGCAAGAGATTCACATACCTTAGAGACAGATTGTGTAACACGTACAAAACCATGGTATGCTAAACTTTTTGGTAGATCTATCACTTTAAATTCATGGGTAGTCATATCAAATGAAACAATCAAATTTTTTTGTATTGGCCTTCAAAAGCAGCCTAATAGATAAAATTATCTATAACTACTTGAGACCATGTAACTTGAATTGATTTCTTAGGCAGATTGTTAGATAGAATTCTCCAGCTACCTTTACTCAATGTAAAAACTTCAACCATGGGAGAACTATCATCAGTTGTAAAATACGTATCGACATTTGTAATCTTGACAATGGTAGGGTCGTTAGTGATAGGACAAACCCCAAACCCAAGAACAAATTTTGACCAACGTGACTCACCTGGAACAGTTACACAAATTGATTTTCTAATGGAGGGATTCCAAAGAACAGCCATTTCTGTTGCAAATTCAAAACGTGGATGACTTGGATCTTGATAATAACCGTAGAAACACAGCAATCCCTGAGAGCTACCCACCATTTTTAAATCGTTTAAGAATTTTGAGAGCACAGGAACAGCGGGAGCGACCTCTTGTTGGGCAAAGGCCTCGTCATCGACAAAAGTAACATACTTTTCGTTTGTGTCTACTGGATCTTTGTACCATACAAGTAGACGCTGTCGATCGGTTTGGTGGACTCTGTAACCAGAGATAAACTCTGAGCTGTCGATCAAAGATTTCCATGGTTTTGATACGGATCTGAATTGAAGCAATGACTTCACAGGAAGTCTTTTGATGATTTCTGCTTGGATTTCGAAAGCGACGTATTCTGACATTGTAATTTTGGGTGATGATCGGAGGTTATGAATTTCTAGGGTTTACATAAAGGGGATAAGCGAAGGGTTTTTATAGCTAACAATAGCGTTGCAACATTGTGTTCCCGCCAAAACCCCGGAAAAGCGATGATTAAACCTTATAAATATCCTCCTGAAATTATTATAAAAAATAAAGTTTGAGAAGAGTTGTCATGAGTCTCCATTAAGATTATCAATATCAACTTTAGGATTTGATGTTGATTTTATACATGTTTGTCTACTTCACATTCTTCGATACAAGAGAACTAACTATCAAAACTTACCTAATCTTTTTATTCCAGTTGTTTATATTTCGATTTGTTCTAGTTGTTTATATTTCGATTTGCACTTGTTGAACCAATTTGCCACTAATAGTTGAAGAACCCCTTTATTGCTCCTAACATGTAATTGGCCTTGACATATACTATCTCATTAATTTCCAATTCATATTTTTTAACTCATTTTGTAATAAAAGGAAAAATGACTCATGAGGAGGGTAATCAACTATTAATTTTGTTCACATTTGGTCATTTTCCTTTTTTTGTATGCAATATATCATCGAACTTTTGTTTGTGTTCATCACAACCCTTTTGACCCTATTTAATCATCCTTGTGGTCCAAATGTGAACAAAATTAACAGTTTAATACCCCCGAGTCATTTTCCTGACAAAATATTCCATAAATGGTCCAAGTAGCTTCCAACTTGTAATTTCAAAACCTTATCTTTTGGGTAACTCTAAAAAGGACAACCAATTTTAAAATGACCAATTTAGATTTATTTATTTATTTTTTAACTTAATTATGATTTTCTTTTAGGGTTTCTTTACGGTTGGAAAGTGTCAAATATCATTAAATATTACTAGTATTTCTAATAATAGTAGAGTCCTCTTAGGTTGTCCCCAAGACTCAAATTAAGTAAAATCAGTAAATAAGGAATTTGTTTATTAATTATTATAGTTTAATAATTAATTAGAAACCAGTTGGAAAATATTTTGGTAATTAATTAACAGTTTAATTAACTAAAGGGTTGAATTTAGTTAGTCAATAGTTGATTAATCAGTAATATTACAGAACCACACATGGAAGGAGGTAGACGGAATTTCCCTTGGGAATGAGGGAATTTCATTTTTAGGGTTATCTCTCCTCACATCGAATGAAGGATAAAATCTAGAAAGTAATTCAATACTATAAATAGCGTCTTAGGGGTTTTATTCTTCTTTGCTCGTTTTTGGCTTGAAGTTTTCATCAGTAACATCCTGATGTTGAGGTAATTCCAAATTTTAACCCTTAGTATGAAGATTATTGCATTTTAACCCTTTTGTGTGAGAAATGTTGCAAAATGACCCATAGTGGTATTTTTGTAAATTTTGGGGCGTGGGCACGTACTATGGGCATACATATTATACGTTGGTGTACGTGGTGAGATCCCAAACCCTAATTTTTAGGGTTTGGACCATATTTAATCATCCTTATGGCCTCAAAACCTCTTCTCTCATCAGCCTCCATCACCCCCATTCAACCTTAGCAAACCCTAATTCTTTGTTTGGGCATTCTTGACCTTTGGTCTGCATTTTAGCGGCCTTGAAGGAGAAGGAAGGAAGTGGAACCACCTTAGAATATTGAAGAAGCTTTGGATATAGAATCTTCATCTATCTAGCAACCTCCAAGAGGTATAAAGTTCTAAAGATGGCTTGTATTTCTTTAGTTCTTGTTAGTTCTTGATTCATGAAGCATTTTGGTCCCAAGTCTCGACCTTTATACGTATGGCATACTCCAGCCTATATAAGATGTCCTTTAAGATGTTTTGAGACGTCTAGAAGCACAAAAATGTGAACTTGGCACTTAGTTCTTCCCCATGCATGTACTAGGATGTGCTAATGGATTAAGAAGTTAGGGTTTGTTGGTATTAAGCACTTCTAGCCATGCAAAGTCATAAAGTTGGAAACTTTTGTTGGGTTTTGAGCATTCTAACACTCCTATGGTGTACATGCAACCCTATAAACCTTGGATCTATGTTTTCTCTATTATACATGCAAATATTAACTATTCGAAGGTTTCATCCTAACTAGCATATTATGAAGCACCTATACTACAAAGTTCTAGTTAGATGACATACATTTTGATGTAGCTTGATGTCTTCAAGCTTTAAGAGCTTAGCCCCAATAGTGTGGAAGCCTCAAATGGAATCACAAATCACCAAAACACCTTGGAAGAACTTGAGAGAATATGTATGCACACTAAAATCGGCCCACACTTTTTTTTCACACACTTGTGCCAATTTTGTGAGCCAATGACCCCTTTATATATTATGGAGGATTAGGGTTACATCCATGTAAACCCTAATACCCATGACCTTTCATTTACATAGGATCCATGGGTTAAAATCTCCATGGACCATCCATGAAAGCTTAGCCCAACCTAAATGAACTTGGCCCATTCGAAATATATAAGAGTCCATATTTAATTAGTTCTGTTTTGATCACTTAATTAATTCTAAATTAATTCTTGATCAATACTAATTAAATAATATGATTCCATATTAATATATTAGAACTTATAATATATTAATATAAATCATAAATATACCATTCTCAAAAGACTATCCATATAAATTGTGCCGGTGAAGTGCAACCCAAATGGACCATACCGGGTCGGGTCAAGTACATACCAAATATAGTTATGAACTTAGACATTAATCCAACAGTCTCCCACTTGGATAAGTCTAAAACTATTATTGAGTATGACTTCAAAACCTAACTGGCAATCGTAGCTCTTAAAGCCGCTGTCGAACTCTGACCTTGTCAATGACTTGTCCATTAGATAAGGAATCATATATTCCTCCATTCTAGATATCATATGGACTGAGACATGAATTATAATCATTCTCTCTGTCCATTTGTTGTTTCCCGATTTCCGATTTATGATGACTGACTGATTGAACAAATCAAATCAGTCCTGGCTTGGCCAAGCACTCACATGTGTCATTGCTAAATCATCGAGGGGCCCACAGATATCGCTTTTATCCCGAAGGTAAAAGGAATGGATAAACTTCGACTCATATGGCTTGTTCTACTACTTGTTGAATCATACACAAAGGCACATTTTATAACATCGAGTTACCAAATGCGTTTTCGTGCAATCAATGTATAACCAACTCATAGTAACAACTCATATCTCTAGGTTTGAAGAATATAGGATATTATCGTCTCATGATCACTCGTGATAAAATCCATGAAGTGATTCAAATGAGCGCGGGTTGAATCCAATACTCTGAACTTATGAGCACTCATGAGTGTTGTAGCACCACTTTTTCCACCAACTTGGACCTCTACAAACCAACCCATGACAGTCTTGATTCATATCTACTTCCAACATATGACCGACTGTGGATGGTTTGAATAACTTAATCATTCAGGAAGAGCGACTTAGTTATTCTGGAAGTCAAAACAAGCAAAGTGAAACACAAGAATAAATGAATCAAATATGGTATCAAACCCTATGAATATAAATAAACACTTTTATTTATCACCATACTGATTACTCATTATTCATTGTTTCGGTTTTATCAACTTTATACTGGAATTAAAAACACTAGTTGTCCCATGCTCCAAGCATGTACACTATGTTTTTCTTAAACAATAGCTTTGCCATACACCAAGTATGCACTCTATATTTGTCTATGATCGTTACTTTGTGAAATAAACCAATTGAACATAATTTCAATGATTCTAATTTCACACTCCCAAATCCTTATCGAAAAATGTGAGAATTTCAAATTCCTATCATTTATCGAAATCTGTTTAGATTTTAAACGTATATGCACTGACCCTCCTGTAATGAATATGTACAAAGTCAGAAAGACTTGTCAACAGTCATTATAAGGTATTCCAATGGAGATCAACTCCATGGAAACTAAGTCTCATATTCAAAGTACATTGCTTTGGACATGCTTCTTGCATTAAGTTTTCTAATCTTACACAGATAACTTCCACCTATGGAGACAACTCCATATTCTCATTTTGACTATCACTTCTGAATAAGAGATGCCTCTTTTCAGAATATGTCAATATGGTCCTTCCAAAATTAACACTATACTTCCAACTGTCCCTGAGCAACCAATCTTTGGTAAACCTCAGATTGTCCTCGACAATTGCTTAATCATTTTAGTCATATCCAATTCTAGACCTTTTCCCTTCTTAATGCCTCTGGGCATTTGGAAAAATTTAGAAATGACAAATATTATAGCACATGCAATCGATCCTGTACCCAAAGCAAATGGTACACGATTCATGATGTCTCACATAAAGACATGATTCTAGACCAATCTTTTGCTACAATATTTTTATTTGCCATGTTTTCAAAATTTGACTATGAAGAGGGATGCCGTAATCATAATCGAATTTTGAGAACGCAATATATAGAATTTCCTTAAGTTGAACCAATCGAACATGATATTCATATATATATTCTTGACTAAAGATGATTAAGGTCTCAATCTAAGCCTTTAGAACTGAAATGAAGTATATTCTCTCCCTTAATTATAGCAAAACAACTTTTTCAATCCCTGCAGCCTCACGAATGGAAACTTTTGTTTTCTATAATTAACATTGCTAACTTGCAACACTAACAATAATTATCATGCTCCCACTAACATGATGATTATTAGCATAACACTTATGCTCCCACTAGCTTTGACATGTACTCAGAAATCAGCTGGACTTCTAGAAATCAATACTGTATTGACTTTCTTACCAAAGTTCAGATTTCTGATACGAGATGCTTTGATAAAACTTTATCAAAATCATACACCTTTCCTTAGATAGCATGCATGTGTGTCTAAACAATTTTAGAACTATGAAAAGGGATGTCGTAATCATAGTCTCAATTGTTTAGACCTTTTGCCATCTGCTTCAAATCTACTTGGTGGAAGTGTTTCCTCACCATCATTTTCATGAATCGGAGAGAAACCTTATGACCCTTAG